CAACATGTTTATAACGCCTAACCGCAAACAGGCAAATATAATTCCTTGTTTTATTTCTTAGAAATTAAAAGTTCCAAATTTCTAAGTCCCGCAGCACGGGACTGATGTGTATTTGTGGACCAGATAAATTTCATTTTTTTTTCAACCGAGAATGTTCCCTATGCTTTTCATGATTTTGCTATGCTTCACACCAGTGGAAATTAACTAATTGTGTTCCAGTTAATTGTTATATTATAATGTAAACAATGCTAATTAATTATTAAAATTTCAGTTAAGCGTAACGGGAAAAAATTAACTGATAGCCGTAAAAAGGCCAAAAATTTAACCGTTAGGCGTAAAAATGCTTAAAATTTAATCGTTAGCCGTAAAAGCCACTACCCCATTGAGACCCTCTTGTTATGCTAGGAAGTCAAAATTCAGATATGAAATGCAGTGAGGTTGTATCAAATCAAGGACACAACTATAAAATGGGCTTCGAGTTACACTTCTGAGAAACTCACGTTCGATATTTTTACCTTGAAAATAACTACCACGATGCACCCCAGGTATATTTCTTGAGGGATTTGGAAATTGATGACAATATCAACCCCATAACATGGTAAAGAACCACTGAATCAAATATATCACGTATCTCTATTTTTTGCCTCCCTTTTCAGGGCCGCCATGNATATTTCTTGAGGGATTTGGAAATTGATGACAATATCAACCCCATAACATGGTAAAGAACCACTGAATCAAATATATCACGTATCTCTATTTTTTGCCTCCCTTTTCAGGGCCGCCATGGTAAGGGATCCATCTTTGTGTTTGCTGCAGGAAACGGTGGAATTAATGGCGATAGCTGTGCGTTCAATGGCTATGTGAACAGCATTCATACGATAGCCATCTCCGGGGTGGACTGGGACGGCTTGGTACCAGCATACACTGAACCGTGCGCGGCCATCATGGCTGTGACGTATGGGCAAGATGTGTTTGCCTATAAGAAAACTGACCCTTCCCTTGTGAGTTTTTGCAATGTTGGTGTAAAGTAAGCTATTGCTGCTGCTAATAGTAGATAACAGTAATAACGTCAGTGTAATAAGCACTGGTATCAAAGGGGGTCCTGTAAAATTAAAATACATGTACAAAATGTACGTAAAAATACAAAAGGCGAAAAGGTGTAATATAAAAGTGCAATTACGGAAAAGGGAAAAAGTGTCCCTTGAAAATTTACCAAAGGATTCCTTAGTCTCAATATGGCGGGGGAAGGCTGTTAAATTCCGTTGCGCCAGTGAAACAGAAAGATCTCTCAGCGACTTCTAGGTTAACGTTCAGCAATAGCTGTCCATTTACTTTAGTGACTCTTTTCGTGAATAAAATTTGTGGCCTCTTTGATCGCCTTTTTTCACAGGTAACAGCTAAAGGAGCCCATGATTGCACACAGTGGTTTCCAGGTTCTTCGACTAGTACTGCGTTTGCTTCTGGTATCATTGCTTTGACACTGCAGGCAAAGTAAGTTCTAGAAAACTAAAAGATTCTCAAGAAGAAGAGCAGGAGAATAGGTTGTTTATTTAACTGATTGAACAGCAGAAACGGTGTGCTATTTTCATGTTAAAGTACTTGAGTAACTTGTTTACTCAAATTTTTAACATTGTTCTTCATAGAGAACACTATGTTTACAGTCGAAGGATAATATATGTAAGGTCAATTCAAATAGGAACCTGTGTCTGTATCGACAAATGTTGCTGCAAACGAGTGGAATCATCTAGATAAGTCATTGAGGGAGCTTTAGTCACTTGACAAATTTAAAAAGGCCATCTGCAAAATAAGAATCTGAGTTGTTCTTGTGAATTTACTGAATGATTTTGAGGGCCAGTGTCTTTGTTTTACTCGTCTCATATTGTATCTTATATTGCAATACATTTATTATTTTGTTTTAGTTTTATTATTTACAATTTTGTAGGAGGACCCTTCTGTAAAGTACTTTTGAGTCAAGTTGGTGTCCTCAATAAAGATGATAATGATGATGATAATGATGATGATTATCATTAATTGTTGCCAATTCATCGTCTTGGTAAAGGTACTCTTTAGGCACTTCTCTCCACTCCATCCAGTACTGAACATATACTCTAAATTACCTCTAGCCCTGACTTAACATGGCGTGATATTCAACACTTGATTGCAAGAAGTTCCAAACCTCTCAATCCTCCATTTACAAGAGATTTTTTGCAAGTAACTCGTCCCAGACCTATGTGGAGAAAGAACAAGGCTAATCTTACAGGTGAATTTCGCATTACACAACAAGCTACAATCCTGGTCACAAGTGTTCGGACAGTTCACGGCAGATGACTTACAGGCAGCCTCTCTCAAGACCAAGACCGCGTAAGCCCGCCTACCCCACTCCCCCCTGTCAATGTTGATAAAAATCTTGAAGAAAAAAATCTTGACAATAGCTTCAGAATAGCCACCTTTCAAGAATTGTTCGCCTCCTACATTGTAGAACAGTATTCTCGAACTAAAGAGACGATAAGATAGATATTCACGTCTTATTCCAATAATAACGACTTTTCAGCAATCACGTTCGGTTCCAACACAACTGTCTAACCACTTTCTATTGGCCCTTTTTCCTTTTTTACCACATCTGATCTTGTCTTCAGAATAGCTTCATTTTCTTGCAACATTGCTAGGGGGGAGGGGGTCAATCATACTTGCTTCTATTCATCTTTTTTTCTAAAACGTCAAGGACGTAGTTAAAATCGTGGGTTTTAGCGCGCAAAAGGGGGAGGTGTCCCAACAACTTATGGCAAGGATTGTAGTTCTCCTATTTACATGTACACGCTGACAAGTTGTTGGCAGAATTTTTACTTGAGATGTTTTTCGTACGTCAAGTTTTATTTTCTACTGAATATTAGCAAGTTTATCTTGAATGTCTCCTTGTTTAAAAGCAAGCGCCATAGTCAACCATGGTCTAACGTAGAGAGTGAGAAAAGGCCGCTGAAGGTAAGGTTTTTTTCTGAGAGTTATCAACTGAAGATACGTTTGGTGCGAGTCTATGAGATTATTAAATCATTCTGCCTGCGACATAATATTTGTGTTTAGCCTAGCATAAAAGCGGAGCTTCGTGATTATTTATTTCTTTATTTCTTTATTTTAACTGGCATACATACAAAGTAGCAACTTCGCAATGCTTTTCTTGAGCCAATGTTTTGTCCAAAAAAATTGAACAGCAGAAGGGAAAATGAAGTGTTCTACGAACTAGATGAACTAAGTTCTATAGAAAAAGGTTTGCCACTGACTCTTGATATTTTTCAACAGACGTTACGGCTAATGCTTAAGCCTTCATCAGTGATGAGAATGCGAAGTTCGTTGTCATACGCTATTTAAGGACGTTCGCGCGAAAATTTTCCAACATTGATTTTTTTTCTGAGACTTTTACCACTGGAAGTTGACGAGTTAGTTATGTCAGATATGCAAAAAATAGGGGATCACCGTCTTCGTTTTGATGAAAACATGCCCGGAAGAACACCCTAAATCTGAAAAAATCGGGCTTCGTTAGCGAATAAGGCCAGTGTCTGTAAGCCCAAAAATATTGCAATTAGATCTTTGAAGTGAAACGTTCTCTGCCAAATATTGTTTAAGTGAACCTGTTAAGTGAATTTAGTCAATTGGTGAAGTTCCTTAAAGAACAAGTTCGCATTTAGTGTCCATAGTTTCACGCGCATTATTCGATTTCCCGTGGACAGAAATCTTGAAAATTTTTAAACTTCCCACATCGATTTTTTGTTCATTTTTGGACAATGT